TTGTTATTGTTATTGTTATTGTTATTGTTGTTGTATTATTGTTATTTATAATTTATACAATTAACCTCCCTATGGTCCGACCCCGGTCTTACTGGGTTATTTATTACTTCGACACTCCTGCACTTGGGAGAAGACATCAATCTTTTAGTCGTGTCAGTCCACAACTTTAGCTAAATGTAAACCTTTTAAAGAATAACATAACCATTATGTTTGGGATAACCACAGAAACCACCACTCCTCTAAATGCTCGCTAAGTTTGAGATGTGTTTAGCCTAGCATCATGAATGAGCTTGATGGGCCTATGACCCAAACCTATGCATATAGGTTGAGCTCAAGCTCAGGCCACATGATTTTGTTGGGTTAGGAAACAACCCAAAAGCTTTCTTGGATTGAGTTAAGATGAAGGCCAAACCTCATTATTTACCAACTAACCCATGTGTATCTTTCAGCAGAAAAGAAGGAACATCAACCTGTATTTTCATTTAATTACAATATATTGGTTTATTTCATGTGGGGATTTGTGACATGGGAGACAAGTAAGGGATATTTATTTGGCCTGGGGGATGGGAGCAGGCTAGTTGTTGTCCTGCTGGTGTCGTTGGTGGTTTATGATATAGCTATTGATGAAGGGAGAAACAACAGTGATGGATATTAATTGTTAATATAGCTTTTGACTGGTGTATGACAGAAAAAGATGGTTTATAAGGGGTGGTTTATGCTGCTACAATGGGTTAGTTTTTTGGTTGAATTAGTATATAGTATTGTATGGGGGGGTAAGGATATGTTTTTTTTTTCTTTTTTATCTCTTTTCCCTCCTCTCTTTCTTTTGGTTCTCTCTTTTCTTCACCTCAACTTCACCCTTATTTATCAGGGGTGAATAAGATGTTTAGAATCCTTTCTAGACTTGAGTCTTGGCACCTGATTCACATAGAAATGATCTTAACCATTGGCCATAAGCCAACAACCTAGTGCTATCAAAAGTAGGTTATTAGTACTTAAAAGTGTATTTTTATCAAGTTTTTATGTCATCATTTTGCACTTGAAGTATTCAATAACTCCTTAACTAAAGTATGTTTTTATAATAACATATCTAATAATATAAGATACCTTTAATTTATGGTAAATGTTCATTTTAAATGCAAGCCTATCACATAAATAAAAGGATTGATTGATGGATTTAAGAACTGAAATAAAAATGACAAAGCGATGGCCAAACTTATAAAAGAGATGTCTGTGCAGTCCAAACCTTAACATTGTTCGGTAATTGGGTCATATCT